AACAGCATCTCTCATCTATTGTTTGTTGAATTTTGTTTTTTGAAAACAGAAAGGGGTTTCGCAAATTCATGCAACTCTTCTGAATGCAAAGTATAACTGACGGGATTCTGACTACATTCCTGAGGGTTCTCTATGACACCCACTTATCCTTCACAAAAACTGTTGTTTTTCTGAGGTCTTTTAATGTTGTTCTTCAAGGTGATGAGGAGGCAGAAAGGAAAAGTCTCTGCAACACACCACTTTTCATATAAGAATACCTTGATCTGATATCTTTGGTGATAGAGTCTACCATACATCCAGTAATTCTAACATCATCTAGTTATCAGCAGAAATTTACCCTTTTTCAGTTCTTCTGCTGTTCCTGTACAACTCTGTTGCTGAAGTCATAATTTTGTGTTAACCTAACATCCGTGGCAGCCTAAATCATGGCAGACGCTGAACATCTATGGCAGAATCTCAGCTCAGCTGAGAAATTTCTATTCCTTATGCCCAACTCTGAACCAATGGAGATGGCAGGACCAAAACTCTACCTATTCTCTGGCCTGCTCCAACGTGCTCCCACTAGGGAAGCATGAATAGCCTTCTTTTTTTCACCAGTGCCACCACAGGGCAGAAACTGAGAGGAAAACAGAGTATCTCTCTCCTACCCTGCTGCCAAACAGCAAACACACAGGCTCATGGGGAGATCTGGTCATGAACCTGTGAAGGACTAGGTACTTTGGACTCATCAGGTCATGAATGGTAGGTGAGACCATGCACCGTTCCATTGAGCAGGCCCTCTTCAGCCATACATTAATGATTATTGTGTCCTCTACTGAGGCTTCTCAAACTGCAGCAGCAAATTTTTTTTAGCCCTGCCAGCTTTTGACACTACTGCCCTGGAAGAGGCACAGTCACTGCCAGCCTTCTCCCTCTTGGTAGCTATTTGGGTAGTTTGTGAGAGGAGGCTTACCTATGGCACGCTAAACCTTGAGAACAATGACAGCAAATGTCTTTGTAAAGCTATCATCTCTAGTTAGGTGGCCTCCAGGATCATATTCTTACACTCCCTATTTCCTCATTACACCCCAGCATTACTAAGGTGTTTATACTTAAAAATTTTAACCCCTTTCCTTGGAAAAGGACCCATGGGTTATCTTTACCTATGGAGGGAGCGGGGGCACAGCTATAATTTCTCTGAGGCTGATCTGAAAAGCAAAACCAGCCCAGCTGACTTAACTTGCTAATATTCAGTTAAAACAGAAGAAAATCTAAGCTTACTTCTTGTGTTGTTGAATCCCTGAAACAATGAGGAAGACAATTCCAGCCACAATGAGACAAAGAACAACACCAAATATGATAAGCCAGACAGGCGTGGAGGGTTCAACAGGAGGTGATAGGGTTGAGGTTATCTTCAGGAACTGCAGTGTTTTGTCACTCAGCAGGAAGGCGCTGTTGATTCTGTTCCGGTTCATCCTTCATAAAAACAGAAAGAACATCACAACTCTTTATAAAGGTATTTTATAAGTTAAAAGGATAGAACAAAAAAAGAAATTTTCATGTATGTGTTGCAAGTCTGGCAGGGATGAAATTTGATCCAGCATGACGTTGGTAGTATTACACAGCCCTTCACTTAACATAGACCCTGTCAGTAATCCATAGACACCCACACACTTAGAAGGTTTTGAACACCAGACTTCTACATGTATTTACCTGAAAAACTGGGAAATACAGATGAGACCTGAAGTACAGTATTATTACTTGTTTCTGGTTTGGACCATGTGCTGAAGACATAGCAGGTTGTAGTCTGTAAGGGTGGCTCCGTTGTCTTGCTCACACAGCATTCAAGATTAGCATGGGAGTGGCAGAATTACCCTGCAACACTCAGAGGATTTACTTACCGGTGCCCCTTCGTTCTTCAAACTGAACCTAACATCTGCTCTTGTTGCTGTACATTTTCTTAGGTCCATGAGGCACAGAATATGATTTGGTCCAGAAGAATCCCTATTGCCAACATACCCTTCTTCCCTGAGGGACGCAGCTAAAGCGATTTGTACTTCACACATTTTTTCCATTATGAGAAACTAAGTCTGAGAAACACACTTTTTCATATGAGTAGTACAGCTGCTACCCTTTAATGGATATCTTCACCCACAATCATTACTTCCAAGCATTTGCAGGTATTTCTGGATCTGAATCTAAGCAGCCTTAAAAGGTTTTAGCAGTATCTTTCATTAGCTTTTTCAAAATGTTAGAAATTTTTGAGAAAATGTATTACATTTATTGGTCCTGAGAGATTCTTTCTGATTGCAGTTGTATGATTTACAGCAGCTCTTTCTTGTATACAATTCAATTGATTTACCATAGAGCAACTATCTCCTAAGAACAGATATATAGGAAATACAGGTAAGATTTTGCAAATTTCTTTTCTTGGAAATCATAATGTTTGCCTACGCCTTAAATGGGAAGTTCTTAGCCTTAATGGAAAGCTAGCATTCCTGAAGAGGACTGAAAGCCATGGCATATTATAAGACTCATAATACGGTAAGCCGTTTTTGATTTAGAAAAGATTTTCATCCTTATTGATATAAAAGAGTCATTGTGAACAGCTGAAATAAACATTGTCCACCCTCATCTAACTGGCTGGAGTTACAGAATTATGTGCTGAAACACATGCAGGTAACTACAGGTGCATTTTGTATTCATATATGCAAAAATGTATCTTGTGTATACTTATGCAAGATCTTGGGACTCATTCAGAGCTCTGAGAAGGTTTGCCTTCCTCTTTATTCTTAGTTTGTAGAGAACCTCATACAATAAAATCCTGGTCCATTGACAGCATTCTTATATGCTACCGTAGTATGAAGAATTAGAATAATGATTTAGTATGGAAGCCTGCAATCAGAAGCAACTGAATAAGAAGTATTGTAGTTTGATAGACCATTTTATTTCTTGTTTCTAAGTTAGGTAGGAATTAAAACTTTTCATAAATAGCATATTCTTCTTTATCAGGTGACAGACAACAGTTAAAAACCAAACATACTATAATAGCATCCAATTTCTGTGGCAAACAGGGCACATAAAAAAATAAATCAGCTTATGCTACTGAACGTATCAAAGAATAACAGAAATGCAAAAACCCTGCATTCCAGCACTCTCACAGAGAGCTTCAGTGAATAAATAATCTCCTTCCTCCACTAATGCTATGAAGCTATTGTTTGGTGTCTCTGTAGGAAATAGTTTAATCTGCTCATAAGCTTAAAAGTTAATCTTTCCAAAAGAGCGCATACTCATTCATCAGGAATTAGGCATTACACCTCCATAGAGATAACAAGAATTTTCAAGACAAAGTACAGAATGTCTAAAAACAAAGAGGTCTGTTTTCCGCTCCATGCTTGAGAAATGTACGAGTTATGCTGCTTGTGGGAGTCATCGCCATAAACCCCTTATGTAGGTTTGGTGGACCACTGAAGTCAGATTACCTATTTTTTCTTCTTCCCTCTTCAGCTCCACACTCGTGCTTTTATTGGCTACAGAATGTGGTATTTAGTAGAAAGCAAACTGACTTGTACTGCATGGTACTTTGTAAAAGCAATGCTCAGCTATGATAGTGACCGGCATTCTATAAAGAGCTGGTATGAAAGGAATGTGAGCATAAAATTGTTTAAGCCAAGCTGGGACACAGCCAGCTCTGCTCATGAAGAGTTCACACGAGCTCTTCTCATGTGAAAGCTGACTTCTAAAGTAAGTCAGATGAACTGTACTTGAGCAGGTCTGAAAGGGAGCCTGTGGTCATTAGTCCAGGTGTAGATGTGCATGTGGCATGCAATGAAAGTTAAATGATATAAATCCCACCCAGAAAGTGTGCAATTCCATCATCTGAGGAAGAAGGCGCTCTCGCTGGGAAATGTAGCAGCAGGAGGAGAGCAGCGTACGTGCCACACACTGGACAGCAAATTACAGGTAGGTCTCTGGAAAGGGACTAGATTTCATCTGAGGCTCCAGCATTAAGAGAGACTCATTCCAAAGTTGTAATTCCAAGGCTCATATGCTTTGCATTCTGTGGGACTGCTAAAAATCCTTCTAATCTTACATGCATGAAAGAGTACTAACCTCCTGGTGTTTTAACTACTTTAACGACTAGTTTGTTCTTAAAGAGGCACACTGCTCATTCATACAAGGCCCAGGAAAGAAAGCTTCCCCAGTCAGCAAGGAAAAATGGGCTGCAGAAGCAGTGACTGTACCTGATGGCTTCCTCTACCTCACTTCCAGGAACAGTTGTCACATTTTTGGAAGAATCTGTGACCACAAACCAAAATGACACCCGATCTGTCACATTGCAGAGCAGCACATTGGAAATTCTGTGGATGGTTAAAATAAAAATCATCATTAAAGAAGCATGGAAGGAATTATTGAAATATTTCAGATTTTCTTAAAATATTGCTTTCATCTAGAGTGGGAAAAAATTCTTACATTTCGAAAAGGTAACAACAGTTAATGCCCAAGGAAGACATATCACTCAGCATTTCCCACTTCCCCATATGACTCTCAAAAATTCAAGCTTATTGAGACCAAACTTGAGTCTTCAAACAAATTTCTGAATCTATTACAAACTTGCCTGGTCTTGAACATACATTTACCATAATAAAATGGAAAACCACATATTTGCATCTTAATCAGCAGGACTGTACAAAGGCCATATATAATGGAGCAAATGCATTGAGGGACTGAAAATTTACTTTTTGACAGCTAATACCACAGGAGCCAGGCATGGGGGATTGCCCACACGATTTTCAAGGGAGTGCAGTCCTTCTACACAATACATGTGTTGGAGGGAAGAGTAATGAAATTAGTGTTACTCTTTTTGACATCTTTCTGCACAGAGTCAGGCACAGAGCCAGCCTGGCCTTGGTTCACCTTTGCAGAAGGTCTACCTGGCCACAAACACAACACAGCCACCCTGTCTTGGCAGACCCCTGGGATGATCAGTCTTCAGATACTACCTGCTGTTCTGGAGAAGGAAACCCTGCGGTGAGCCAGTGAAGAAGAATGCAGCCCCTCTTTTAATTAACTGCAGTGATGTTTGTAATGCCTATTACTAACTACTATAATTGGTCGTAAGGTTTGGCCTGTCCATCGTCAAAATGCAAGTTTTAACATTTCCTTTCCAGCCTGTGCTCTTGCTCAGGGTGACAAATCCCCCAGCTGCAATCTCCCCTGCCACAGAGCTCTGTTTTGCAGTGCCATCTGCTGGCTAGTTACAACGAAATTAAATGACCTCTGCAGTGGCCTGAGGAGCAGGAAGCATGAGGTGGAAGGAATGTAAGGGAGCCATGATGAATGTGTAGTCTCCATCCAAAAAAGAACGAGTTCGCTTTTAGGGCAGGACAGGCATTGGCTTGATCATAGTAGTCCATTATGGATATTTTGCAGAAATATTTTACTTACTGCAGAAAGCTTGTTTGGGTGGTGTTTTGGGTGCCTTGGGTAGTGCAACCTTTTGTTTTACAGAGAAGGTATATATTCCATAGAAATATGCAATAAAATGGAAAGCAATGCTTTTGCAGAGCTGAAATACCCACTTTTACCTCTCTGGAACAATGTCAATTTTGCAAATACAGAGAATTTTTATGGATAAAAGAGGAAAGCCATCCTCTGGAATTTGAAAAAATGTTCACATCAGTTTGCTGGCAAGTCAGAAGATGGAAGCAGATTTATTCCTCCCAAAACAAAAGCAAAGCACAAAATTTACGGGAGAGGGAAAAAAAGAGTCTACTTCTGGCTGGTGGCTGACAAACTTTTGCTGACTTCACGGAGTATCTAAAATTGTATCTGCAGAAGTTTTCCATCAGGAGTATTTATAACAGTAGGACCTAAAGCTTCATGTTACTGCACTTCTTAAAGCTGGAATTTCTGTGGCGCAGTCAAAAACTGATCCAGGTAGAAAATCAGGGTTCATGTTGCCCTACAGATGTTCTTGAAATGGCGTGAGTGAGGAAAGTCTGATCCCCAAAGAGAAAGATAAATTTGGTAGATAAAGACCAGCAGAACACCCTGACTTTCTCATTCTCATTCAGAGACTCACAGAGACTCTTCAACCTGGGGTATTCCCTACAGTGCCAAGGCTGTCAGCATGCGATAGGGCAGTTGGTCATCATTAGGGACAGGATCTCTCTTTCC